TCCTTGGGCAATCTAGTGTTAAGGAAATGAAAGATTAAAGGAATAATTATTTAGGAATGCGAGAAGATGGCCACTGATAATCGATCCCCAAGGCCAAGCTAACAGATGGATCAAAAATATGGAGAGGGAGAATAATTTGAATATCATTCGACTGACTCAACTTGATTATGGTCGCGTGTTGGAGAACGCGTTGCAATTCGGGCAACCAGTGCTTTTGGAACATGTTACCGAGGAATTAGACGCCGTACTTGAACCAATTCTACTTAAAGAAACGTTCAGACAAGCTGGGGCACTTTGTATCAAGTTCGGTGACACGATCATCGAGTACAATACTAATTTCAGGTACCCTTAGAATTAAGAAACAGTCTTAGTATGCACGTTTTCTATTAAATCAAACGAGTATTGTTTCAGATTTTACATCACTACGAGATTAAGGAATCCTCATTATTTACCAGAGGTGGCTGTTAAGGTAACGTTATTGAATTTCATGATCACACCGACTGGATTGGAGGACCAGTTACTGGGTATCGTCGTCGCAAAAGAAAGGCCTGACTTGGAGTCGGAAAAGAACGCATTAATCATGCAGGGAGCTGCGAACAAAAAGTGGGTCTACTATTAAAAGAAATTATGGCATCACGTGATTTCTGTTAAAAATTGCCTGAGTTTGAAAGATGCAAGCTAGATTCCTCACCTTTGATTTCAAAGAAAAATTTAGTCTTTGAGATTTTTTCTTCAGATGTTAAAATTGTTTAAAGAAACATTCTGCAATTCTACTCCAAAATGCTATTTTTTATGTTAATACATAAAATCTGATGTCTATTCATACACTTAGATTACTGAAAGAGACAGAGGACAAAATCTTGGAGATACTATCAATAGCCGAGGGTAACATTTTAGAAGACGAAGAAGCTGTGGATGTTTTAACGTCCTCGAAGAATCTAAGTAATGAAATTCAAATAAAACAAGCGGCTGCTGAGCAAACGGAGAAGTCGATCGACGAAGCCAGATTACAATATACGCCAATAGCTGTGTATTCCACAGTCTTATTTTTTACCATCGGTACTTAAATCTAATTATCTTCTTATCAATTAAGATTGTATGAACCAATTCAATCAATTCTTATAACAATTGATAGAATTTTTATATCATTTGTAAAAAAAAAATGCAACAATGACAGATTTCTTTATTATCGACCCCCAAACTCAGGAGGTCGACGACTTTGACGACCCCTGAATTACACACATTATTATGCTTTTTAATTAATTACTATGCTCATTAAATTCAGTTTTTCTTTTAGCCACGCTGGTAAATATCGACCCGATGTATCAGTACTCGTTAACATGGTTCGTAAATCTATTCGAACTATCCATCGACAATACGGAACCGGCGGAAAGCGTTGAACAACGATTAAAAGATCTGATGAAATATTTCACGTATTCTCTTTACGCCAACGTGTGCAGATCCTTATTCGAGAAGGACAAACTATTATTTTCATTACTGCTTGCTGTTAACTTGATCGAGCAGCGAGGGAAGCTTTGCATACCTCAATGGACATTTTTACTAACGGGCGGAATCGCTATAGACAATCCGTATGAAAATCCGACTACCTGGCTACCTTCTAAACAATGGAATGAACTGTGTAATTTAGACGATGTCGAGGATTTCTCGGTAGAATTTAAAATTCATTGAAGAAATCGCTTTTCCGATAAATGTAGTATTTATGTGTACCCGTAATTCTTTTAGGGTATTCGGAAAGAGTTCACGGAGAAGACAGAACAGTGGAGGGTTCTGTTCGATTCGAAGGAACCGCAAAATGATGCGATTCCTCCACCGTTTCATAACGTCACATTGTTCAAAAGACTGCTGATATTAAGATGTATTCGTCCTGATAAAATAATCCCAGGAGTACAGAATTTCGTCGAAGGTGCTAATCTTTTTAAATGTATACAGGGTATCCTAGAAAAAGTGAATCTGTAGGTGTTTCTGAATAACAATTTCTTTTGCTAAAATGCAAAGTGAGCCATGGTTTTTGAATTATTAACGAAAAACACTGACCAATGAGAGCGCGCACAAGGCCTGCGCTGACCAATGGCCGAGTGCCACGATCTCAGCCACCACTGCCGTGGCTCAGCGCGGGCCCTACACTTATTGGCCATTATTGTTTATTAATAATACAAAAACCATGCTTTCACTTTGCATTTTGCGAAAGGAAATTATTGTTCAAAAACACCTCTCTTCGGTTCTAACATCTTTTCGGGGAAACCCTGTATAAAAAGAATTTACTAACATCGATAATTGCAATTTTTAGGGGAACTCGGTACGCAATTTGTTGATCCTCCACCGTTCGATTTGGCCTCGTCGTATGCAGACTCGAATTGCTGCACTCCGTTGATATTTATATTGACTCCCGGCACTGATCCGGCACAATTGTTGCTCTCGTTTGCGGATGAGCAAGGCTACAGTGCCACTCGCCTTATTTATCTCTCACTTGGTCAAGGTGAGTAAGTTTGTTGAAGGTATTTAAATAAAAACGAGACTGTAAATCACTGCCTGATGGAAAAAGCACTAATTTCAATAGAATACCTACAAAAATTAAAAGGTTTCATAAAATAAAAGAGTATAATTCTAAGATTTGTAAGAAACACAAATAGCATGATATCTCAATTTTATAAATTACTGAAATTGGTTTTACTTAAATACTTCACTGTATCGTTAAAAAATATTTAAATGAATATTATTAAATTAAATTATAATATAAATTAGGACAAGGGCCAATAGCTGAGGAAACGATTCAAACAGCTGTACTAGTAGGCAATTGGGTGGTCCTCCAGAATTGTCATTTGGCGATCAGTTGGATGAGCACTTTAGAAAAAATTTGCGAAGGTCTAATGCCTGACACTATCCACTCGGAGTTTCGATTATGGTTAACGAGCTATCCGTCGGAACACTTCCCTTCCTCGGTATTAGAGAACAGCATAAAAATGACGAACGAGCCGCCGAAAGGTCTCAGGGCGAACATAGTCAGATCCTTCTCAGGCGACCCGATCAACGATCCCGATTTCTTCGAATCCTGCGGTCAATCCGAGTACTTTAAGAAACTTCTTTATTCCCTGTGCTTCTTTCACGCTGTGATACAAGAGAGGAGACACTTCGGTCCGATTGGCTGGAACATTCGTTACGAGTTCAACGAGACTGATCTTCGAATCAGTGTTTTACAGCTGCATCTCTTCCTGGATCAGTTCGCAGACGTGCGATTCGACGCTTTGAAGTATTTAACTGGGGAATGTAATTATGGTGGAAGAGTGACCGACAATTGGGACCGCAGAACTCTGATCACTATCCTGGCGAAATTTTATCGCGAGTAAATATTTGAGTTTATCATTTAAAATTGCAACATGCACTTTGCTGTGTTTTTATAAATAGCATGCAGTGTTTATTTGTGCACATTCAAATTTCTTATAACTACTTAACATCCGCAGTCTATTTATTATCGTATATGAATCATCTAATATGATTTCATAATAATGTCTACAGGGAGGTACTTACTGAGAAGCGTTATTACTTCGACGACGCGTCGACGATTTATTATTGCCCAACCGTGCGAGAACATGAAGCGTACATGGAGTATACAAGGAGTTTACCGTTGATTACTGAGCCAAGCGTTTTCGGTATGAACGACAACGCGGATATTATCAAAGATCAACACGAGACGGATCTCTTATTCTCATCTCTTTTACTAACTCAGGTATTTGAATCGATTTCTCTTAAACGAATCGTTTTTACACGAACACCTGTATACAAATTAAATTATTTTCTTTAAATCGTACTTTTGCCCAGGATCGTGTGGTACGTATAACATCCTGTTTAGAGACTACGGATTTTTATTTAAAATGAAACATAGACATTTCTTTGTAAAAAGCAATCATCTTTTAATACATTTTCTGAACATGGCAAGCATTCTTTATATTCACTGCCAATTTTTAATCTATAAAATCCGTTGTCTATCTCAATTCTTTTTACTTCTAATCATTTTTCTTCAACATTTATACGTTTGCCAAAACTGTAGGATTTATGGCAGGTCAGTAAATTTATAGAAATTCTAATAACGAATTAATAAATTAAAACTTGACGTGATTTTGATACCAGGAGAAAATCAGGCCCGGAGCTGGCGAAATCTCGCCTGACGAAATAGTATTGAAAATGTCCGATGATATCCTACAAAGATTGCCAGTAGAATACGACCTTAAAACAGCCCTTAAGAAATACCCAACGTCCTACGAGCAAAGTATGAACACCGTGCTGGTACAAGAAATGGAACGATTTAACAAACTCAATACTGTCATTAAAACCAGTCTGGATAATCTTAAACGAGCTATCAAAGGTTCCTGTCTATCAACGTTCACCTGTACTTAATTCACAATTTCTTATAGTATAATTATTTTACATCTTTATTAGGTCTGATTGTCATGTCTTTCGAGCTGGAAGATGTCTACGATGCGATTTTAACTAACAGAATAGCACCTCTGTGGAAAGAAAATTCATACCCATCGCTGAAACCGCTTGGCAGTTACGTGCACGATTTTCTGGAACGCTTGCGATTCCTTCAAGTAAAACATTACTCGATAAAAATTCATGCGCTTCTAATTTTCAGTAATGCACAACGGTGTGCAGTAGTAAATACAAAATACTCAAATATCACGTTGGCTGTCGCGTCACCCATATTCGGGTGACAGCAAAGTTTCTCGTCGAGCCGCGTCACCCAAAAACGGGTGACGCTTATTTGGCTACTTACAAAGGATCGTCATAGGCATTTGAAAAGATACTCCGCAGGATGTAATAAAACTATTGAATTGTTAAAATGGTCAATTGTAGTTTCTTCGGTATCATCAGCTCTTCTTTCTTCCTCAATGATCAATTCTTGTAAAATTTCGTTAATTGTATCTTCATGACACTCAATATCACTACGACTGCACTTATCAATATCCGAATTAGAATCAGACGATTGCTACTCGTCGCTATTCTCCGAATTTGTGTAAGCCTCGTAACAGCTTTCTTTTTCACTGCTATTTGTCTTACTAAGAAATAAGTTTTCCATTTTTCTTTTCGACATTGGAACGAATTAGGGCAGAGATTTTAAGTTATATCGCTCGTTATTTGGCAAAGATTCAAACTGATCGTGTGGAGTGGTGCGGTAATAAGTGAGGACTTCAGGTATTTAATAATGTAAATAAATGAGCAAACATGATATCATGCAAACAAACGAAACGGGAAGTTCTTGCGAGTATGCTTGGTGCAGCGGCACTTGTGGCCTGAAGAAAATTTCATTGGAAATACGCGCGGCAGTCAACGTGTTAAAAAAGATGTTCATATCCCAACAGCACTCAATATTGCAATAAACATATCTTCAGTATTGTCACCGTACAATGTTCCTGCAACATTCCAACAACAGTGCATTTATACGTTGCAGTGCAAAATTATACGTTTCTTACTTGTTATGTTATCTGAAATTGTTATATCGATATTATTGGGAAAATATAATATAATTAATCATAAAGAAGATCATAATCGTAATCACAATTATAACGTAAAGGAATTATAGAAATACCATTTGTACTTTCAGAAATTCATTTATGGAAATCCTGCAGCAACATTATTTGAAATATTGCGATCTTGCAGTACAATATTTTTGCAACATTGAGTGCTGGGGGTATGCATTTCATTTTTTTAATTTTATTTATGAAACGAAGAATTTGCATAAATGTCTGCAGTAACTGATATTTTGAGATTAGAAACAAATTAATCTGAACGTAATCGTAGGATTGGTACGATAATGGACCACCGGTCATGTTCTGGATCTCAGGATTCTACTTCACTCAAGCATTTTTGACCGGAAGCCAACAGAATTTTGCGAGGAAATATCAAATCCCGATAGATCTCCTCGTTTTCGATTTCTACGTACTGCCCGTCGATACGGAGCCAAAGTCACCGCCCACAGATGGGATATACATATACGGATTGTTTTTAGATGGTGCAAGATTCAATAGAACTCATATGGTATTAGATGAGAGTTTTCCAAAAGTGCTGTACGACAGTATGTTACCTGTAAGTATTCTCCCAGTCGATGTAGCACTCTTCCTACGAGATATTCTTTAAGTTAGAATGTACAGTCTTCTAACATTCCATAGAAAATTAATTAAATTGTTTGGTCAAATATTAAAAAAGTTATCCCCTAAAATGTGTCTAAATATTAATACGAATCATTATGGTCACTCGATTCAAAGTTATTACGTAGGATTACGTCTAGACGTAAAATTTATTTATTTCTCTCTAGATGTGGTTATTGCCAATGAAGAAAGAAGATATACCTGAAAGAATGACGTATTTATGCCCTGTATATAAAACCAGTGAGAGACGTGGCGTTTTGTCGACCACAGGGCATTCAACGAATTTTGTCATCGCCATGACTTTGCCGACAACAAAACCGCCGGACCATTGGATCATGAGAGGAGTTGCATTACTTTGTCAGCTAGCCGAATAAAAATGAAGATAAATAGTAGCTAAAAAATATTACTTTCGATGAATGTACGCATTATAAATAAAATATTGTAGATATTAATTTAATATTACTGTAAGAATAATGTTTAACGTTTTCCATTTCTGTTTTTATTTTTTTTATTTTTATTATTATTATTTTTCCTGTTTGAACAATTGGTTCCAAGCATAAAATGGCGGAAAGCATGAATTCGTTGAAATGTGATTGAGGGATGAAAGTTGTTTTAAAAGTACAATATTTAGATTATATTATTCAATTTAAATTAACGCATTGTTGACCAACAATTTTAAATGTCAACGATAACAATGAAATTGAACAAGAAAAACGAGCTGACCGATGAACAATGTGTTAAAAATCTATATTCTTGAAATATTTATATTACTTACCTTATCGTTTCTCTTCTTCTTGAAAAACTGTTGGAACGTGGGCGTACACGTGCACTTAATTAACACACTTCACATGAAATAACTTTCTGTTTGAAATTTCTATTATCTTCCGAAGTAGAATTCCGATTAGTTATATAACCTCGAACACTGACCACTGTAAGAAAACTGTTCTACGGTATACTTACCCAGAGATCACTAACAATGAACGAGCCATTGTTGGTTTTGAATCGTCCTCTACAAACGAGATGAAAAGTGATAATGTGGCGGTGGCGCGTCAAGAAAATCCATTTAAAGATGGCTGCTATTGAAGGAAGGTGCTGCCGTGTGATGTCACTTTCGGGCAACGTTGTAGCTGAGAAAAATTGTTAAAATCCGTTGGCCAACGATTGAACAACCAACGCCTACAGTCGGAAAATTATCTCGATAAAGAATGATCTAATACCCGGTGGAGACAATGAATTGTCATCAAATATTAAGTGGAGCTTGCAACGCAGGTGATCGCTGCTACGCTGTAGGCTCCGTCGAAGGGATCTCGTTTACCGTGAGTAACGAGCATTCAGCATTGATCAACTCTTCTCATAGTCGTTTGCGTTTTTAAATCATATTTTTGTGGCTACCTGCTTGATCGTTATAGTCTTAAGTCATTGGGAGTGTCTCCTGTTCATGAGACAGCATGACATTCACAACTCCCTACTTCATCAAATTAATTTGACATTTCTCTATTTGTACTTGAATTTTATGAAATCATTACTTCCTCATTGATTATCAGCAAATTTATCTGTTTCCATTGTTCTTATCAATAAAGAATCAATTAGAACTATGATACATTAAGGACTATTGGCTCGTTGGAAAGGTTCATCCCATATTTTTCATTAATTCATGTCAAATAAGTGAGATCTACTTTTGCATCTGTCCAATAAAATACATTTAATGGTTTAAATTGAAAGGAACTACTGTTGAGATAACAGTGTATGTAATCTAATATGACATGCTATTATAAAATACATTGTTCTGTTATAGGCATATGCAGCAGGTTGTAATATAGTAATTCTAGCTAATAACTTTGAAAGAGTCCAAATAATTCCTGGAGCTGTACATAACTATATAAGAATCAGTTGCCTGGACTGCAGCACTGATACTGGTAAAATAGCTGCTGCTTATGAAAACCAAGTCTGCATATTTGAGCCTACGCCACTTATTCATAGCACATGTTCTCATGTATGTACGATTTTATTCCTAGTATACTATTCCTTTAATTACCCTTGGTAACAAGTTTTTTTTAAATAATATATAGCAACTGGAGTATCGATGGGTTCAAACTGGTAGTCTGACGACTGAGTCGAATATCAGTGCTCTGTCATGGAATTTGGAAGGAACGAGATTATTAACCGGAGGAGAACTTTTACAATTATGGCACCAAAATATAACACCGTTTCAGGAAGAACACCGTAAGCTCATCCTTTTTATATCTATAATCATAGTTTAGTTCACTACTTGTAACTAATTGTATTAACTTGTTGAGTTGTCCAGAAAGTTCGTGCCTATTTTTGGTAGGTAACATTAGTTTTTTGAGTATGTCAGAATGATTAAAGACAAATAACATATTCTAAAAAGCAATTTCAGGTATCTTTAACATGTTGAATGCCACGCCAATTTTACAGGGATTGTCCATGGCGCCACGATGAATTTTCTATTATGCGATACATATAATGTTGAAATATTATCTGCAATAGATAAGTTACAGTGTATAACAATGTTTGACATATTAATTGCGACGGGATCACCGGTGACCCCCGTGGCGCTGGAGTGCGATTTCGCGAAGTATTGTCATTTGTTTAAATTATATATATTTCTATCAATCTGGGCGCGCCGGTCACCGGTGACCCCCATGGCGTCACTGCCAAGTTGAGTGCCGGTCACCGTGACCCCCGTGGCATTCAACGTGTTAAAAAAATCACTCAATAAGATTGTGTTGATATTTAATAAAGTAAGTGTTCTAAGGTGAAGCAAAGATTATAGTTACTACGTTCTGGATTTAAAGCAATTTTATTTAAAAGAATGGTTGTCCTGAATATATAAAATAAGAACGTCCTGCAATGTGCTTTTAAATTTTCTGTAAAAATCAGCACGAACTTTCCGGACGGCGCAATAAATGTATGTAATATTCTTGTGGTTTGTCACAATCGTGAAATTGTGTACAGTGATGAAGAATGTATTACGAACTCAGGAAGGTATTGTAACTGGGCGCGAAGAAAATACTTCAAATGTTCCTCCGGACTGTGAGTCTTGCTACTTAGCAAAACTGCATCACATAAAGAGCAATAATAATTCAGTTTGTGTGCTAATGAGCTTAATTCTTACAATTAGTACGGCTGTTGAAAGCAACGTACTCTAAAAACATTAGCATTTACAACTTTCTTTAATAAAACTTTTATTCAATGCTTACTACACTACTTACCTTGACGCTTTTATGCACTCTTGGTATGAGAAAAGGCTTGTAATTGACGATATGCTCTCTCTTTTATTTTTAAACAATGCAAGGAATACTTTGAAACTAGTGGCGTTTGAAGTAGAATGCAATTTTTCTCAGCTTGTTTTAAGATATGTTGTATAATTAAGTGAATCGATTAATTTTCAGCTGCTACAGTCACATTTTCCATCGGCGGAGACGCCGAGAGTCCAGCGCCTGCAGATTCAAATAGCGGGAACGAGCCAGGAGCGTGGAATTGCGTTTGGAAGTGCCGCACGGCCACACCGGTGCATCTGATGAGCTTCAGCCCGGACGGTACATTGTTCGCTACGACGGGATACAACGATAGATTAGTCAAGATATGGTTTGAGAATAAACAACGTAAGATTATTCAAAGTTTAATCAATTGTTGTAAGCGAACAAGCGATTCAGTTTAAGAGAAATTCTAAGAAGCTTATATCTAAAATTGTTCAGTGTTTTCATCGAGAAATATGGATCACTCGAACGTGACAGAATGTCTCGGTAGCGACAGTTATAGTTTTGTATACGTTGCCCATCCTCGAGCAGTGACACATTTATCTTGGCGAAAGACTAGCAAATATATGCCGAAGTATGTAAAGAAATGATAGAAATAGTCGTTTACGTTGTCGTACCGTCTAAACTTTTTTTTTCTTCTTCTCACTTAGGCGATCGGGGTCCAACATGCTGGTCACATCTTGTAGGGACAACATTTGTCGAGTATGGGCAGAGACGATACCGCCGGAGGTCGAAGGTCTGGCTAACATGAGCCAGTTTGAGGGCTCCGACAAGCACGACCACCATGGCAAGCATCGGCATCACAATATGCACAAACATCGTTTCATGCAACGTCTCAAGCACATGAAGTAAGCGACATATTGCGATTCTTATTAAACGTGTTTATGTTTTATTCACGTTATAGGATATACGTCTTTTGCAGAACCTGTTTTCATATTCGCCGACACGCGAAGCAGCAGCACCAAGCTGGCCACACCACGGCGACCACTTTACCGACTTTACCTTCGACGTATTCCGTTCACGATTTTCATAATAGTTATCAAGGGACGGGGCACTATCCAGGAATGCATTTTCACTTGGCAGCCAGTATCAATGCAGAAACTGGTACGATTGTACATTATAACTAAAACTCGTTCCTGAGATCACTGTAACGAACCCCACGATCTTCTGTGTGACAGATATACCGCTGGTACCGAGTTTAATCACCGGAGATCCTGAAAGAGAGCCGAACTTCATCCTCCATTGGTTGAATAATAAGGAAATGCATTTTACCATGCAAGCTGAAAGTATTTTACAAGAACTGACTCGTAAAGTAGTAGAGAAGGAAGAAGGATTGCATCAGCAAGACGTAGAACATGCCGAGCATGATTCCGAAGAAGAAGGTTTATCGAGTAAGATTTCTACGATCGATCGAACATTTGTTTTTCGTTAATTAATTTGATTTTAATCCGATTGACTGCGTTATAGAAAAAGGGGTAAGATCACAAGCCGTACAAAAAACAGGAGGCACTATTCGATCCATGAGCCAAGAAGAACACAGTAGCGACGAACATCATACAGCTCACACAGTTTCATCGCATCATAGTTTACCACATAGCGCACATTCCCATCAAAGTCTTAGGTACACTTTTATTTGTATTTATCGAATCTCGACGAGAATCTAAGATTTATTTTACCGTTCTTTTTGCAGTAATACTACATCAATTAATTCTATCGCGACCGACGTTACGCCTTCGATGAACCACGTCCCGGATTCCCTGGATACAAAAATAGAGACGTTGTTGCGCGATTGGCATCATAATCCGGATCTACTATTTTCGATTCATCCGATAGATGGGAGCTTTTTGATTTGGCATATTGAATGGCTGGACGAGTATCATCCAGGCTCGTTTCGGCAAGCACAAATATCGTTTTCTACTAGAATTCCGAATGCATTCCCTCTCGGCGACGCCTCCACGATGAGCCACAACGTGTCGATGTATTCCCATAATACTGGCGGCCCTTTGTTAAACATACGAGAAGTGGCAAAATCCTCTACGAAAGTTTCAAACGATGGTAGATATACATTTTCAAGCATTTAAATACATAATTAGACAGTGGATTTTTCTATAAATCCAGTCTGCACGTAAAAAATTAATAGATCAAATTCAAATTGTTACAGCTACTGATGTTGCTACACCATTACCAAGCTTGATAGAGCAAGATGAAGAACAGTCGACGTTGACGTCGCGGACCGGCCAGGAACTGTTAAAAAATATAGAAAATTCTTCGGATCCGAATCAGAATGCTGCTAAAGACAGGGATGGTCATTTGGATACTGGGAAAACTAATCAAGAAGCTGTGAACGACATGTTGACCCATCCGAGTCCGATCGTCTCTATGGTGTCGAAACATTCGAATGGAACTTTAAATTTATGGCAATTAACATTTGCCGATAGAACGAAATTTACACAAGTTAGTATCGAATCGTCATTTCTCTGTTTAATAATTAATTATCTTTCGTCAGTATTTTATAATAATAAATTATTTCATGTAATCGTTCCACAGGTATTAAGTATTGGACATGCGTCGAGAGCCTCGGGGCATCGTTTCCGAGTGAACGATATTACTTGTCATCCGGTGTTACCCTTACTGGTGACAACGTCGCATCATAATCTACCTGAATCCGGGTCTCAATGTCAGAATAGCGATTCAACTGAGAATCTAGATAATAAATTGGACTGTAATAAAACTACCCGGAAAGATATCTCGCCTACTGTAAGTAATAATAAATAAACAATAAATAAAACATGTTATAATGATTTAATTTTTTATTATTATAGGGATTCTGTAGCGAATTAATACTCTGGCGTGTAGACACGGTCGGGCCTCTGTCAAAAAGCGGTGGGGTTTCCGAATTGGCTCGTATCAATTCACCCGAGATCTCAGCATTTTGTAACGTCGCCTGGATTCCGACATTATTACCGAGTACTACTTTAGGAAATTTATCAAATTCTCCAAGCGCTTGTTTCGTTGCCAGCGACGGCGAATGTTTAAGGGTATATCAAGCTGTCATCGACGCTAGAACATTGCTAGCCGAGGTATCGATTAGTGAACGAAGGAGCAGAATGATGGTAAGTTAGTAAAAAAAAAACGAAGTTCGTTACATAAATCGATTTATCACTTTTTATATTTTATAGGATAATTACTCCATGGCAAGTATTTCGACAGATGTGTCGTCGGACGACGGCGTTCGGCACTCGATACACGATAGGATAAAGATAGTATCTCAACAGTCTACAGCTAGGCCAGGATGCGTTATACAGTTGGATGCTATTGCCGATGCTACGCACGTATGTATACGCAAGATGTCGACTTATTAAAATATAATACTAAAAGAAAAATCATTCTACGTTAAAATAATATAAAACACAAAATCGTTCTACGATAATTTGTATCTGAGTAATATCATCCCAAAATTTCGACAATTTTCTATACAAATTTCGTGATGCTATAATTTTTTTGAGTAGTGTATTAATAAGAATCGAAATGAATTTGAACGTGATGGTTTCAGGATTGGCAAAATACGCAGTTCTTACATGTATTCCAAGAACAATTGATTACCGGAGATAGAAACGATGAGAAACAATCCGGTGTAGACACCTCGGTAAATGACTTAGGTTTAATGGAGTCTACCTTAGATGCCATGGTAGATCTGCAACAATCAACGATTTTCGAAGAACCGTTCTATATAGTTGTTTTAGAAAGGACGCAGCAAGGTACAGCTGTACACATGTGGCGTTTGGTGATCGCATCTCAGCCTGAGACTACCGGTACGACATGAAAAGTTTTCTAAGACAAAGATCGCACTTCGGGGAACTTTTGTTTTGAACCATTTATAGGATTGTCGGAGTCGATGATGTACGTTCCGGATTCTCATTTGGTGCAAGACGAAGAGGAGGAGGGAACTCCGGGGCGCTACGGTCACGCAGACGGCAGAAGATCTCGTCGAGCTAGTCAGAGCCATCGCGAGAGTCAAGGCGAGACGGATGTGTTCTTTCAAAGGCGACCTCAGAACAGTCACGTACTTATCACAACTACGAAAGTATGCACTCAGGAATTGCCGTTACCAGACGGAGTCGAGGTTCGTATCAGACTTCATTTTCTTTTAATTACACCTGACCCTTCTTTTACACGTTATTTTTTTACATGATTTTCTTTTACTCGGCTCACTGTAAAAGGAGGGCCAGGTGTACTGTCAACGGTAAAAGCGATTAATTATTACGAACACGTGCAGGTGATACACGCGGCACCGGCTGCTGGACACTTGAGCAGCTCTTCTATATATCCTGCTTGCTTCGCACCGTATATCGTAGTTACTGCTTGCAGCGATAGTACAATACGTTTCTGGAAATGCAAAGTGACGAAGGAACAACCAGAGGACAAACTGCACTATGAATGGTGCGAATGGGAAATGATACGAAAAGATCAAGAATCGACGATTGACATTACAGGTACATGCAAATATCTCTCTTTTATAAGAGGAGAACTTTAAAAATTCTCTCCTTTATTTATTATATTTAATATTTGTTTTCAGGACAACCATTGAACATTAGCGCTGCGTACAGCGGGCGCATCGCGTGCGCTTACAAGTATGGAAAATCATTTACCCGTCCTACGAAAAGCGATCCTGATTCTCGATACGTGAACCTGTGCGTCGCTATATTCGAATGCGAGAGCACTGGCGGAAGCGAATGGATTTTAGAAGATACTATACACCTGAAAAATATCCATTTACCAAGAATTCAGGTGGATCAACATTTAGACCTGAGTTATCTTTATGATAGCAAATTCCTGCAGAAGAAACAAAGACTTACTCAGGTCTTGCAAACGCTTAGTCACGAAGATGTGCGACTGCCGAGGAACGGAGAGAACGGGGAGAGCACTAAATCAAATGCAGGTAAAACATTCAATTCTCTTCGAGAAAAAATCTACTTCATCTGAAATCTAGTTACAGTGGTCTTCATTAACCCTTTGCACTCAAGAGGTGACTTCCATTCACCACATTATTCGGTGCGGTAATTCGAGGGGTGGCTCTCGCTCACCAGGAGGTTATTTCACCTTAAATTTTTATCGCGCTTTAGAGAGACAGGCGGCACACGTATAAGACCCTATAAGTGTATAATGATACTCCTTTAACTGGAGATAAGTTTTTCGTATCGGAACCTTAGTCTGTAACAGCGACCGGGCATTACTTTCGACATTAGTTCGACCTTGACAGTCGCGGCAAAAAGACTATTACGGTTAAAGTTTTTGATCCTTATAAGCATGGAACGTGACAATGAAATAAGTTCAAGTAAAGATGAATTTGATTTATCGTTGCATAATAAGAAAATTACGTCTATACACAAAAGGCTTGACGATATAGAAGACAAAAGTAGTGATGATAATGGTGATGATGTAATAAGTGAATAATAGGTGAATAATAGAAAGAAGAATACTATTCTAACGGGAATTAAGAAGGATTGCAGAGTCTGCTCGCGACGAAATATACCCGGAGAAAGACACCAGACAACATATTATTGTAATACTTGTTTCCTCAAACCGGCCACTCATTTTAGAAATTGTTACAGTAAATATCAAACAAAGGAAAAGTACAATGATTAATGTTTACGAAATAATGTTTCTAAAGGTACAAAGATACGCAAAATATTAAATTATAAAATTTTATATAGTAATTTGGATGTATAATCATTTTAAGTTGGAGCTACGAACTTCAGCATAAATGCTCCGGAACGTCTCGAGTGCAAAGGGTTGAGTTTAAAACGTTAATAAGAGTCGGTGTATATTTTTAATCATTGTTTTAAAGGCTTGCTAGCTGTTCCATCGTTCAGCACTCTACAGTCATTACGAAAATCGATCATAGAAAACGGCAACACTTGTCCCCTGACACAGAAGCATCTCGTGCAGCTAGATTGGGTATCCAAAGAAGACGGTTCTCACATTTTGACGGTGGCCGTCGGGTCAAAAATCATGTTGTTCACACCGGTGTGCTCGGACCTGGCTCAAGCGAACATGAAAGCAATGAAAGAATCGCAAAGCAATAATCGTCCGATACTTCGTAAAGCTTCGTCGCTGGCTCAGCCGCAATTCGTCGACGAGATTCGTTGGATGAAACTACGAAAAATCGAGTTAACCACCGCTGACGGTTTGCCACCGTTGCCTATGCAAATATCCTGGGTGAGAGACGGAATTCTAGTGGTCGGTATGGATTCCGAGATGCACGTTTACTCTCAATGGAAACCGAACCCGAAGAAGGATTGTTTCCATTCGAATCTGCAACACCAGGAGTCGGACGAGTTCCAAGCTAGTCGAAACTTACGGGACGAGGATCTGCGTACACTCGCGCATGAAACTTCGCAGAGGCGCCTGGCCAACGTATCTTCCATGCCTCATCTATCCCGAGTTAGTAGCATCAATTTAACTATGCTCGATGCTAAGAAAAAGCGTGGAATGCAGAATGAGAACTTGAACTTCGATTATATGCCAGATTACGGTCTGTTCGAGGCGTCGAGAATCGCCTGTCCAGTTCTACCTCAGTATCACCCGAAGCAGTTGATGGAATTATTGAATTCCGGGAAGATTCGATGGGTAAAAGCTATATTAGCGCATCTAGTCCGATGTATAGGGAGTTCTTGTTCGTTGAGGGCCGACGACGAGAGTTTGATGAAGCAACGAGGCGGCGCATGGTCGCGTTCCAGGACGATGTCGGTCAGCTACGTAGGCACTACCTCGCCCCTGGAGCCTAGAGGCTCGACCACGCAAATACCGGAAGAGCTCACGTTAGATTACGCAGAGATAACGTCGATATCTCCCTTGCCGCTTTGGACCTTGTTGATCGCGGACAAGGAAACGAACGTCCCGCTTCAGCACAAAACCGAGGACAAGCAAGATTATAATGAACTGTTCGACAGCAATTTAGACGAGGGTGAGTCGCTGGACGACATGCTCGACGAGGATTACGATTGCACGCGACAGAAGGACAGGCGTTCGTCGGTACCGGAGAGGCAAGGGATATCTCATTTCGGGCCGAGGCAAGGTAGACTCTTGTCGCGGTTACTCACGCACACGCATTTACCGGGCTTGTCGAGCTTGGATCAAATGCATTTGCTCGCCTTAGCTGACACTGTCTCTACGTGCAATGTCGATTTCGCGGAACGATTCGCAATAGACGCCGCAAAGAATGCCATAGCGAAGGAAAATTTGACTGGCATCCCAGACGGAGAGAATATCTCGATGGATTCGTTGGACGACTGCGGTCTAAGATTCTTGTTAGCGATGAAACACTACAATTATTTGATACGTTGTCTTCCTTTGGCTCAGAGAGCACAATTCCAGAAGCAGGGTATATCTTCGAACAATCTTGTTTGGGCGTCACATTCTGAATCCGAGGAAGAGCTACTGAATTTGATTCCTTCTTATGCGAAGGGACAACCGAAATGGAACGTACTAAAGGAGCTTGGGATCGGTTGGTGGATCAGGAACAACGCTGTGTTGAAGAAATGCATTGAGAAGATTGCTAAAGCAGCGTTCCAGTTGCAGCAGGATCCTCTCGACGCGGCCCTCTACTATTTGGCGATGAAAAAGAAGAATATCGTATGGGGCTTGTTCAGAAATAAACGGGACGACAGAATGACGGCTTTCTTCTCTAATAATTTTACAGAGGATCGTTGGAGGAAAGCAGCATTAAAGAATGCGTTTGCCTTGCTTGGGAAGCAAAGATTTGAACATGCCGCAGCGTTCTTTTTGTTAGCCGGCGCTCTTAGAGACGCCATTGAGGTATGCTTGAATAAATTAAACGATCTGCAATTAGCGATGGTCATTGCTAGATTGTACGAGGACGACACTACTTCGCCGAACTTGAGGAGATTGCTTTATGAGGAAATTTTGGGCTGCGACAAAGATGGCCTGAATCAGGACATGAACAAGGCCCATCCAGATCCATTTTTGCGTAGTATGGCACTCTGGATTCTCAAGGATCACTCGGGATCGCTCAACACTTTACTTTTAACAAACGTTGGAACCTTACATCCGCAGTACAACGATGAATCGGATAAGCCTGAAGGTAGCACGGCGAATCCGAACGTTTTCAACTTCTACGTTTACCTCCGTACGCATCCTTTACTGATCAGACAATACATCGCGTCTACCGCGCAAGATAAGAAGAAAGGCCACTCGGTAGTCATACCCGGATTCAGTTATGGCACCGAGACGAAAACCCAGCCTGACAAACAATTGACTCTGGAAGACAGCATTACACCTTTGGAAAGACAACTTTACTTCACTACGGCCCACGCACATTTCAAAGCAGGGTGTCCGGCCCTCGCCCTCGAGGTTTTATCGAAATTACCGAATAAAGTGATGGAGACGAACTGCGAGGACTCGCCAAGCGTTTTGAACAGTCCGAGCAAGGCGAGACCGCAGGACTTCCAAATAGACACAGGAATTATAAGTTGGGACGTTAGTACGAAAGTAAATGATACAGTGGAAACTATGGATTGGTCGGAGCCGGTTACAAAACAAACCGACGACGAGTTAGTATTAAATTGGGACGATGACGCTGAGAACGAAGACGGCGACAGCTCACCGTTAACCATGAAGCTAGATAAAAAAGAAACCAGCACTGATGTAAACGATCCAGAAAAAGATGATTCAGGCGTTAAATCGTCGGGACAGTTGGATATTATGGCGCAGCAGTTGAAATTCGTGGCCTGTTTAAAAATTTTAATGGAAGAATTGTCGACGCTGGCGACTGGGTTTGAAGTAGATGGAGGTCAGCTCCGATATCAGTTGTACGTGTGGTTGGAGAGGGAAGTGGACGCTCTTAAACAGCTCTGCAATTATAGCGTCAGTTCAGATGGAGATGTGAACAACGCTTCGGAATGTAAGTGAGAATTTGTTAATTTTCTTTGAACGTGAAATAACGATGATTATGTTTCAGACGAAGGTGGTATGGTAGACGACGTGCCACCGTCTAAGCCTGGTGAACAACCGACGTTACATGAAATATTAGTAGCCGAGAAATTAGATTTCGAAGCGAAAGTGCAACGAGCTGCCAAAAGGAAAAAATGGCTGAAAGGTATTCTGTTAACATTAGTAAGGATCGATTGGAAACCCTCGATTTATGTTACAAATTTCTGTCTACAGCAAACGAAACATTATTGCGGACGCTGCTGTCTTATTGCTCCCTCCACGGAGCATCTGGCGGTGGCTTAGCATCCGTAAGAATGGAGCTCGTCCTCCTACTGCAAGAATTACAGCAAGAGAAAACGCAACAGCAGTTACTTAGTCCGCTTCCGTTCCCGACTACTCTTCCTCTTCTCAGTGCCAGCGTCGCGTGCAACAAAACCGTCGTCGCTGATCCAGTCAGACACCTGCAAGTACGTACATCAGTTGAAATGAACTGAAATGCTCGCGAAGTATAGTATTCAACATGAAAGACTTGTTCAGTCCCTAGCCCACGATATGCTGCAGACGTTAGTAGAATATCGTAATCCACCGATGCCTACGAGGAACACGCATTACTGCGAAGTGTTCATAATGAGGGATTTGGCAGTCGCCTTGAGCGCTTGCATTTACCAATCGCTCTGCGACTCCGACACTTTCGTCATGAAACATCAACAGCCGGACAGGTGAGTTTAGAAGAATACAAAAGTTTCTGTGAACAATTCGAAATGACAAAGTTGTTGCTTCGCGTAGTTTCCCAGCATTTGCAGAGATCGAGACGTTCTCGGGAGGGCACTTGGTAGCGTCGAATCGACATCATCGGAGGTACTCGACGGACGACGGTGTTTGTATTACCACTTCTCCGTCCAAGTGGCCAGGCGTGACCAACTTGCGCGCGCTGTTGGCCCGTGAGAAGGACGAAGATACGCCGAAATTGAATATTCTTCTCTGCGAATCATTCGTAGCGACTTACATGAGTTTGGTTGTTTACGCGTTGTGGAGCTGCGACAGTCACATTCTTTATAGACTTGTGGGTCAGCATTTTGACAATAGCACCTGGTCTTGTCTGTTTGGAGGCGGAGTAAAGAAATTGCTACGCGTTGCGAGCACGAGTAGTCAGGTATACAGCTGTCTTCTTGTTTGTTTTATCTCATTGTCGCATTTTTTATAATACTTTTTATTCTATATTTAAGGGTGGAGGGAGCGGTTCGATAGACAAAGGAACTACTAATGGTGGCTCGACCGAAACGCAAAGCGCCGCGGGAGCCATGTGGAACACTATGACCTCGTTGACCAAGCAGCGTGTAAAACTGAACATGAAACTGTTGGGTCAGTTCACGTGTCAGCAGCCAAACATGAAGGAAGACAAACCGACGTATAGGGAACAATTCGTTTCACCTCAAATGAGCATGATATCCTACTTCTTAATGAAGGTGAGTTCAATTTTCAAGAGTCCCGATTCTATATCTGTTTTTCTCGATGCTGTAATACTTTCTTCTGTTCATTTATTAATACAGCCGCAAATAGATCGCGAGTACGCGGATGAAATCGATTACGATTCTTCCGATTCCGCGGTGTCGGATCTGGACTCCTCTGAGGAAGAGGAAGACGTGTTCGACACCAATTCGAAACCAAAGAATAAACCAAAGGACAATACAGAACACTCGAATCCAAACTCGTATAGTTGGTGTGTTATGCGATTAGCTATAGTGAAAATACTGCAAAAACAGCTTCAGGACTTCTTGAATGTCGCCGGCATAGAGATGCAAGGTATGCTGTTTTCATTTGCGAAATATCTCGTCCAAAGATACAAGTCAACGATTATTATAAATAATATATTTTCACATACAGAGTTGCCCGTGAATAGTCCGTTGATTCATGGGACATTAGCCGTGGTGGCACAATGGCAAGAAACGTTACGCGAGGAAGTGGACGGTAGAGGACCACCGCCGATCAATTACATCCCTGGTTGCGCACCAGATCCAGCTCCCACGCCGGGGAAACCGGCGATTCATAAATACCGGTCGCTACTCGAAAAGAGCAATACCCCGTTCAAGTAAGACCGTAAAGCTTGATCTACAGACACCCAATACGATTTCATCTTATTTAATCGTTCGTATCGTATTTTAGTACGCGTTTAGCATCGGCGGCGCCTGCAAATCGGTTGTGGTGCTACTTGGTGCGTCAAGAATCCGTGCAGGAGATATTTATCCGAGCCGTCTTCGGGAAACGTAGATCGCTGTCATCGATTCTCGAGAGCAACCAAGCCGCGATTGACAATTTGAATCGTGGAACAACCGCGGACGACAAAGGTAGCGATAGCGGAACCACCAGCTTGCCTGAGCCCGTTCGAATTATTCACAAGGAACAAGATAGTATCAGTGCCTTCTGTCTTAATCAGGTTCGCCAATTTCAATTGTACGATTTCGGTAACAATAAAAACTTTATAATGCTGACACATTATTATCGATGATTCAGGTGAACCCAGGGTTAATGGCTCTGGCCACTCCGCGAGAAGTGCAAGAGATGAATATATCGCTATTACTAGAACTTCCGTCCTGGTTGGAAGACGAGTGCGAATTCGATATTATTAATTTGAACAAACAGCCAGAACCCGAACCGGTGCAACCAACTAGTTTCTTAGTCATCCAGGTATACCATTAAAAATGTACAGAGTGTCCCAAAACTAGTGTAAGATATTGAAATAGGAGGTTCCTGACATAATTTTAAACAACATTTTTCTTAGCGAAAAAGTTGTCCGAGGCGTGGTTGAGTAGTTATTAACAAAAAACTCTTGAATAGTTATTAACAAAACAAATCAGAGTGCTCGGTTGGCGCGAGCTGCGAATCGGAATCGTTGGCTCGGATCCGGACGCTCGGCCTATCAACAATCTATCATTTCCTTATCCATTCCATTTGAATAACGATTAAATGTATTAATTGTTATTAATTTCCTTGCATTGTTATTCATGTAGTTTATTATTCGTCATTTTTTTAAAACGCTTCGTCTTGAACGGAGCGCTTGTTCACGCGTCCAAAGCCGGGCGTCCGGATTGGAACCTCGTGCCAACAGAGCGCTCTGATTGGTCGTGGTTTTTTGTTAATAACTCCTCAACCACGCCTCGGACAACTTTTCGCTAAGGAAAATGTTGTTTAAAATGATGTCAAGAACCTCTCACTTCAATATTTTACATTAGCTTTGGGAAATACGACTGTATTTCGCGAAATGTAAATTATGGTAAATCGTTGGTCTAATGTGAATGCGTTGACTGTATACAGACTGCAGCAGATCGACCGTTGCTTGCCCAAAGCCCGCAGACGAACAGCCCACAGACTCAATCGGGTATCGCCAGTCAAAGTGGAAGAGGAGCTAGCGTGGTAAGTGTCCCACGTGTTCGTAATTAGCGAAAGTGACTCGCATACTTAAACATTGAGCACTGTACAGTCGTATATTTGTCTTCTGAAATATTTATACTTTTACATGTATTGTGTTCCTACTTAAACCGAACCCAGATGTTTCTGAGTTACTGTCCGATGATCCTTTTTTCGTATGTAAATAATCGTGTGTTCTTTGAAACGAAAACGAAGAAGGAATAATGCCCCGATTGTCTAACGTTATACGGTAGCTCATGAGAGTGTCCAGACACCTTTTAAAACGGAATCACTTTTTTAATATTCGACCAAGTGATTCGAATTTTCTTTGGAACATTAGAAGGCTTAGAAATCCCATAGAAAATTATGTTGTTTGCTCGAATATTAAAAAAGTCATTCTGTTTGAAAGGTGTCTGAATACTTCTGTCAGCCACTACACTTCAGGAATGTTTGGGTTGAAAGAAAAGCGTATGAAGAGTAATATAACATGTAACGCTACAGTTATTATTTCTTTTAAATATTTCCAAGAACCGCTTCGCAGATCATTTGAAAGAAGAGATTCAAACAAAAATTCTATTATATCGATAATGTAATTTAAGGTCGTTTAAAGCGAGTTCCAATGCTTATTGTGTGACTAACGTTACTAACATTATACAAGTTGTTTAAATACCTTAATTAAGTGCAATTTGTACTCTGGAACGTGTGTCAAGAATATAAATGAGTATACTTCTTGTTCCCTGCTCTGAGAGCAATCGGAGGAATCGACCGTTGCATGACTTGTATACAAATTTGCACTATAAATCACCTTTCTTAAGATACACGATTCGAGCACGGTTGCCACGAAACTCTCTTCCTGCGAGAAATTCACGCTAAAGTGAACTATCACTATTCAGATCTCGAAATTTCTAAGTAAAATTTACAACATACTTTTCATTAGTTTAATAAAACGAATGAGATCTCGCAGGAAGCTGACTGTTGATAGCCGTGAAAATGTGTGATACCGAGTAGCCGACGCACTGGGTCGCGTCAAAGTAGCACATCTGGTGACAGAAACAATGTTCCTTGTTCAATGCTTGCCTAACGTCTAACTTGGTTTGCGTCTGACTGACGTCAATGACCTGGTGGCTCGTTCGCTCGCTCAGATGAAGGGGATGCCCGCTTTTCCTGGCTCCCACGACCTGCGTTTCTGTCAATTTGTTGCCGATAGGAGCAAACACTTGTTGCAACCGGTGAGATTAACTTCTAACAGACCCAATCATCTGTATGATACATCCCGGTATATACCATTCGTACCTAGCGCCGACTTTACATCCTATAATTCTTTATGTTCATCATCCCTTTCTCTCGTTTCATTCACCGTCCCTCCACGTTCTATTTCTTGTATTAACACTCTTAAACGTTGTAAACATCGGCATTACTGAATTTACAACGTGACTTGTTTAACGAATCCTACAATTTTGTATCGGTCTTATAGACAATCTCTTCATCGTCATCGTCATTCTCTCCGTTCCGGAGTTTTACGTTTTGCTTTTTAATTTAATTATCATAGATAAAAGCAGAACACATAAATCTTGCATGCTTGATTTTTCCTATAAGATTACTTCATCGAGCATTTTGTGTCATTTGATTGTTACCGCCTTGTATGTGTGCTTCTATTCAGATTATTTGTACCCTACGATCAAAGAATCATGCACTTTTATTTAAACCTCAAGCTGAGTCTGCTAGCTTTTCATCTTAATATTAGCAATTGCTCCTGTCTTGTGATTAGATACAATCTTTGTTGCAATCTGTATATGAAACTGAGAGATGAAACCTAGTGGACCCAACAGAGTAAGCATTAGGTTTTCGTTTCCTTCGAGTTAGAAAACCAACAAACGATATGAAGAATCTTAATGGCATGCGTTTTTGAAACGTAGAACCAGGCTGATTTAATACTAGGTTTATATGTACATATAGAAAAGTACAGACATATGTTCAGCGATATCTTCCCCAGTTCTCCGTTTTTGTTTTTTTTTTTTCTTCTCTCGTTGTATTCTGATGTACATGTGCGCTAAAGTTTATAGAGCTAACTTGATTTCTTCTCCCAGAGAAATTTATACATGTACGTACTGTTTGCGAATAACCGTTTAGCAATAATTTACACAGCTTCGATTTAATCTAATAATGCCTGACATTCTGTCCCGACAGATTCTGAAGCATAAAATCGACGGCGTCAGGAGAATCTCTTCGCATCCTCTTCTGCCATTATGTAAGCATATTATCAATTTATTGGATTTGTCTTTGGCACGTTCTGTAAGAATCATTTAAGAAGTTATTTTTTTTTTACTACTGGATAATAATACCTGTCGATGTCCGGACGAATAGATTTGACGGGCTCTCAGGATGGCTCCGTGTCTCTTTGGGAATGGGGGCATCAGACCGCTGTTGCGACTCCTAGACCATCGGGCACCTTTGCCAAAGTGACCCGAGTTCGATTCTCGCATCACGGTAACAAGTTCGGTGTCGCAGATTCCGATGGGCATCTCAGTCTGTTCCAAGTGGCCTGCAGAGAAGGAACGGCGCGACCATTCTTTGTAAGATGCTTTTTTATAAAGTAGTTATCCTCTCATTCTGTATCACTAATGTACTTGAATAATTGTTATGTCTTCCCACAGAATTATCAGTGCCATAGTAAGGTGACGGCCGATTTTGTCTTCCTTGGTGCCTGCAGCTTGATTGCCACTGCCGGTCATGGTTCCGAAGGACGTAACGTAGCGCTTTGGGATACTCTACTTCCGCAAAATAAATCTCTCATTCAAGGTTCGTATCATCTCCCTTGTATTACGTCGAGGATGTAGGAAAGGCAATTTATCAGATTGTTTCTTATTCTGTTAGGCTTTATGTGTCACGAGCAAGGAGCTAGCTCGTTAATACTTGCACCTCAACATCAGCTTTTGATCAGCGGTGGAAAGAAAGGCGACATCAATATATTTGATGTACGGCAACGACAACAGAGGCATCGTTTCCAGGCTCATGAATCGGCTATCAAGTGCTTGGCTCTCGACCCGCACGAAGAATTCTTTGTCAGTGGAGCTGGTGACGGTGATATTAAGGTAACAATTTTTACCAATGTGTGGAAGAATAAAAAAACAGCTTTATTAATGTACGTGAGAATTAACTATTATATTTGAATGTCTCTGGTCAGGTATGGGGACTAACTGCCCATTCTCTGCTTTATTCTTTCCCCGGGGAGCATCCACGATCTAGTTTCTTTAAAAACATCGGACAGGTAAGTTAATTATTGTTAAAAAAAACCATTCAATATTTATATGGTACCATGATGTAAAAATATAATGCTGTTTGCATCTTCCATTCGTTGGCCATATTGGAAGTACGATGACCTATTGTTTAGTCCAAACACGCATATATATTACACTCCGAGAACTTAATTTTTGATATGTTTACGATTTTAAAATTCGCTCTGTTTTAATATGAAGCGTAATTGGTTAGAAATGCAAAATGGCCGATGAGTGGAAGCGTCCATGATTAATTGTTCAAATGGATGCGCAAGAACACACTTTATGTTTTTATATCATGATATGGTACATAGAATTGTAATTAACAATTCGTTTGCAGGGCGTAACGCAATTGCACGTCGATCCTGCTGGCCGTTTATTTTCATGCGGCGCGGACGGTTCGATGAAAGTGCGTCAGCTGCCGGAACGAGATTGCGTCGTGCACACTTTATACTAAACTAGTTGAAGAGCATCAAGATGTTCCGTTAGGTAAATAAAAATAAGTTCGTTCGCTTATAAAACGAATGCAAACTACCGCTAAAATCATAAACGCTGAGATATGAGAATCGCGTGCATACGTTCCTTATTAAACTCTTTCTTACGCAAGACCGCATAAGGAACTTATCGTAGATAAAAATTCGACGTTCAAGTTATCGAGCACGCCTGTTTTTGTTTTTGCCTTAAGAAACTGACCACACACGGCGATAATGAAAAATATACGAGAAAATAATTATAATCATCGATGTATTTAAAGTATTAAAAAAAAGAAGAGTCATTCAGCTGATAGTATGTTTAAAATTGAAACTTATTTTCTGTTTTTCTTCTGTTTAGAAACGCAGGCTTAAATTGCAGATTGTTGAAAGTTTCCTTGATTTACCGCGGCGATTGTTGTTCCTTTGTAGAGAATTAAAGTTAGACAAACGAGCCAAAACTACAATCGAGCTGTTAATTATATATGAGTATTAAACATACATGTATTATGTTGTTTTTGCATTTGCAAATCTAGTATTGTACAATTAACTTTTCGTCGTACGGAGAAGACGTAGCCCTATTTATTTACATCGTGGCGGAATATATATATATATT